CCAAGCGACCACGTCTCCACTGGGCATGGGACGCCCTCTAATTCGGCCTGCAGAGCCACTGTGAACGAGAGAGACCATTACATTGCGAACTCCCGGGATATGCTCCACCCTACCAGACACATTAAGATTCAAACAGCACAGAAATAGGTGCCGCAGCAAGCGGGAGAGGATGCGGTCAATTGATTGATAGCCTGCACAACCCCCAGATTGTTTCAATGGAAAACTACCCACCTGTCCGTGAGTTGGGGGGCCCACACCTCCAATGCCACCAGAATGGGGAAGATATCCAGGACAGCCAGATTCCGCAAGAGACCTGTCGCATTCCAGCCTACTGGTCAAGAGTCAGCACACCATCGAGAGCCCAAAATGGCTCCAAGTCAGTGGTACAGACCTGCCAGTACATGCTACCATTATAGGAGGCCAAGAAGGAATCCCTGACAGCCCCATGGGCAAAACCTGACAGGTGAAGTCCAGCTTACCTAGCAGAGACTGCAGGCAGCACAGCTGAATCTCGCGTTGCCCGAAAGCCAGCGAACCTTCTGCCGGAGGTCTTGAACCGTAGTCAGGGGCAACCGACATTCCCCAGCCACGGAATCGATCTCGATATCCAGGGAACTAAGGCATGTAACCGGACCCACGGTTTTGTCATGGGCCACTGAACACCGAAATGCTGAAACATTTCCCCAAGAACCCACAGCAGCAGAGCGCAGACGAGCGACTCTGTCTGCCCCACACACAAGAAGTCATCTAGATAGTGCAAAAGGGAGTCGATCCCCGCTCCCCTTAGCACTACCCACTCCAGGAAAGTACTAAAGCACTCAAAATAAAACAGGACCGGGAGCAATCCATAGGGAGGCACATATCCACATAAAACTGACCATCAAACGTACAACATGGGAAATGATGAACAGACCTAACCATGTGGACCTCCCCGTCAAAAAACGGATAGGAAACCCGGTAGAGTCCGGCAGAAATGTCGTCATATATGGATATATATAAGGAGAAACCCGCAGAGCGGACATCAGGGGCACACAAAAGGGGCGCAGCCAAACGGCCAAAGGCTACTTCCTTGTTAAGCTTCTCCGGAGCCACCTGAGGGAATTCCCATATGGACCGAAGGTTCCAAACTGAGAGTAAGGAAGGGCGAACCGAAAAGGGGATTGAAAACCTAGCTCAACACCCCCCAATAGGATCTGGGCTGCTCGACGATTCCTATAAAGGTCGAGCCATGGGTGCATTGTGTTTACGAGCACCGGAGTCATCTCCCTTAGCCCAGACGTCCCTTTTCTTGACAGTTTTGCCCCGCTTGAAACAGCGGGAGATGGGCACCACCAGCTCTTGTGCTTGAAACGACACGAGGACCCCCACTTACTGTGACTGTCATTAAATTTCCAACAACAGCCCGGCCTCTGGTTGGGGGCCGATGAGGAGGAGGACATTGCCCCACCGCCTACCCCCCCAAGAAAGGACGAAAAAGCGCCTTGTTGAGGCGCCAGGCGAGTCATAATTGAGAGCCAGAGGCTTTTGTTCATCTAGTCCCATGACAATGAGGGTCGCACCGCCAGCCGCTGATGAAATTGCTTGTCATACCTCCACCAACCCAGCCCTCCATAAGAACAACACGAGTTCCAGATAGTGTCCTGGTTACAGAACAACATGGAGCATTCTTGGGGAGCCCTCTTCCCAACGACGCTAGCCTTGGGGATTTTCCGATATCTGTATTTTTCTTTGTACTTGTCCTTTTCGGAGTCCCTCTCAACCAAGGGAGGATCTTTCCAGTGACAGGAGGGAAAATATCTCTAGGATATCCCCTTTCCAAATCTTCTCCCTAGTTTCTTGTTTCAAATGCAAGCCGAGCGCGCCAGACCAGTGCATAGAAGCAGCGCCCCGAGCCACATCTGAAATGCCCAGCACTAGGTACTGCGCAGGACACCGCAGGCAAGGGAGGACCTGACGTTGACGAAGGCAGTGGACCACTACCAACTACCGTGACAGACACAGGGAGCCCCGAGGACTGCGCAGTAGGTGGCAATTGAGCTGGGGTCCAAACCGTCCTGAGCGGACTATCCAGAGTGGACTCCCCGCTAATTTTTACCCCCTGCTCCCACTGCTCTAAAGAAAAAACGCAGACCTGAAAGGAACTTCCCCAACACAGGACCGGACTAAATAAAAGAAGAAGGAACACCGTACTCACGAGCCGATGCCCGGTGATCCGACTGCAGCATAACAAGCATAGAAGGTCCAGGCAGATTACTCTGAATTACAGCTTCCACTGTGTTCCTCAAAGGTGTACAAGGTCATTTCTAGGAACTGCAGCCAGGTGCTGTGAGAAGAGCAACGGAGAGGATGTCAGCCCACGCTCCACACCAGGAGGCAGCCAAGGTAAGTGATCAGCATAGAGAAGAGGGGACCCAGAGGGAGCAGAACAGAGGACAGAGAGGACCCATAAGGCACAGGAACAGAGGTAAGAGCAGGGGAGGAAAAGGAAGGGGGGAGGGAGGACACAGAGGGGTGAGGGGGATGGAACAGAGGGACCGGTGGAGGCAGAAGAGAAAAACAGGGGACGGGCCCCCAGAGACAAGTGGGGCCCTCTGGAAAGCAAGACCAGGGAAAGGAGGGCGTCAACTCCAACCCCCAACGACGGTACCGTGGTACCCCGCATGGCCCTGTAGGGCCTACTCACCACTGGGGCCCCGGATACAGCCCTGCCGTTGCGCCTGCCACGAGGCGATCGTGAAGGCCTCTGGGTGGCCACACACCTCGTGGGACTCGCCGCCCGCCTCGTTCTGCTTCCGGCCCGATCCCGAATACTAGAGGCCACAGGCTGTGATGCAGCTGCAGGAGGGGGAGCCGCAAGTCCAGAAGGCAGAAGTAGGCCATGCATCCTGCGTGGTAGTAGAAGGCTGCGTGTCTGGATCCTCAGGGGAGAAACTGAAGGGGGGACTGGGGAGAGAGACCCACGGGAGCCATCCTCACTGGCAGAGGAAGCCCCCGACCCATGAGAGGTCCCCCTCCAACCCCCAACGTTGGTACCGTGGTACTCCGCGTGGCCCTGTAGGGCCTACTCACCACTGGGGCCCCGGACACAGCCCTGCCGTTGCGCCTGCCACGAGGCGATCGTGAAGGCTTCTGGGTGGCCACACACCTTGTGGGACGCGCCGCCTGCCTCGTACTGCTTCCGGCCCGATCCCGAATACTGGAGGCCACAGGCTGTGATGCAGCTGCAGGAGGGGGAGCCGCAAGTCCAGAAGGCAGAAGTAGGCCATGCATCCTGCGTGGTAGTAGAAGGCCGTGTGTCTGGATCCTCACTAATAGACTTGTATATTAGGGGTATCCACAGTGGAAATGTCCCTTTGTTTTACACTATTAGGGACCCCCCCTGTGGATTTCTTTCCTTCTTCCCCTCTAGTCTTTATTTTCTACTATACCCTCTCCTCTGTCCTATCGATTTTCTTATTTTAATATCTATTTTTTGGGGGGGGTATTTTTGAATATTTATTTATTATTTTTTTATTTGTAGGGGATTTTTTTGTGCCACCTTCCGTTTATGTAGTACGACACAGCACACTAATCTTGTGATAATCATTCACATTTTTTCAGACTTGTGAGTGTACATTGGTACATTGTTCACACGATTTAATTGCTACGTTTGTTACAAATGTGGTAACTCTGTCTCAAACCCTCACAGGTTGAGTTAATTGTAACTGATGGCTGGTATTATCCAGTTTATATACACTTCTACCCTGTGGGATGTTCAACTAATTTATTTCTATGTGTAACTGATGGTATATATATATATTCACATCTAAGCCTTCTTTAATTATATTAGCCTGTGTAATTAGACATTTTCTTCGGGGTCGCTTCAGTAGGAGGATTCTTCTCGTCGTGTTACGGGAGGAGCTCTCCTTACTTCTTCTCTTTTCTACCTGGCGATGCCTCAGCCCGGGCTCCTACTCCTCCAACATGCCCGAGGTGCAGCCTCTGGGGAGAGTCTAACCGGCGGGCGGGAACTCTGGCCGGTGCTAGTGCGGCCCCCAGGAGCAGGGGCCACAGGGGAGGCCCCTGAAGCAGCCTGACCGCGGGGGGAACCATGCCAGCAGCCATACCCTGATTTAGGTGAGTATAGTGCTCGCGAAGGAGCCGGCCACCATCCAGCGCAGCAGCAGCCCTGAGGGAAGCCAGGATAGCGTCAACCTCCATCTCTCAAGCAGATTGACTACAGGCCCAAGACAAACAGGAGCAGGAGGACAGGAAGCTGTTTGCTGGCCCGAATCCCAAGTGGCACTGAGGTAAGACCTCCCTACAGTTAGACCACACTAACTTACACACCACATAATCCCACCCACACATTCATACACATCAATCCTCACTCTCATACATGTGTCCTTGTCCGCTTAGCTGCGCTATCTCCCCAGGGCCTGGACACTAACAGAATATTTCTTTTAGCGCTATTAGTGATTTATTAATAAAATAACAAGTCATTAATAAACATCATTACTGCGCAAACACAGACCGGAGCAGCGTCATATATCCAGCATTTCTCCAAAACGTAATACTTTTTGTGTGCTTGTTTATCATAGTCTTATGGTAGATTTGTTAAACTTTCCCATTCTGTCTGGTTACTCCTTGTCCCCTTGGTGGCCGATCTTCTCCAGAAAAAGTGTGGCCTCTGTCAGACCACTTGGGCCCCCACAGAGTCTTACAAGGGCCGATAGAGGTTCTGGCTAGGGCTGCCACAGGGTCAATACAGGTTCTGGCTAAGGCCACCATGGAGCCAATAAAGGGTTGTGACTAGGGTGGCCATGGAGTCTGACAAGGGCCGATAGAGATTCTGGCTAGAGCTGCCACGGAGTCTGACAAGGGCCAATATACGTTCTGGCTCGGGCTGCCACAGAGTCTGACAAGGGCCGATACAGGTTCTGAGAAGAGCCAATACAGGTTCTGGCTAGGGCTGCCACAGAGTCTGAAAAGGGCCGATACAGGTTCTGGCTAGGGTCACCATGGAGTCTGTTAGGACAGGTCACATTTGACCCTTATAATGCTTGTTTTAAATTTGTTGGTACTGAATATAAATTCTGATAAATTATTCTTTAGTTAGGTTCTTGACCTGCTGCCCTCCTCATTTGTACAGGTTGTGGCTCCTTCCCAGTTCTTGGTCACTGTGCCCCTTCGGGGCTTAAGTGGATTCCGGCAGAGGAGTACCAGGCGTTGGCGCTACTTTACCCCTAGCGGTGTCCGTCTGCTGACTCCAGTTATGGAGCCTGAGAAACTGCACCAATGGTTGGAGGTGGAACAGTTCCAAAAAAGCACACCCCACTGGCATGAAAGTGATGTCAACATTCAGGGGGACCTGCTCCCGGCCCGCGTGGTCAGCGTCTTCCAGGCACTTCTCCACAGGGCCATCTCCTCCTGCAACCTTTCTGGTAAGAGACCAAATCTCAGCCATCTGTTGGCTCTCCTAGCCAGTAAATACAGTGTAGAAATTCTATATAAAGAAAGATCTGAACTCATGGTTCTCACAGCGTGCCAAAAGAAAGTAGGTGCTCCTGACCACTTGGTTGGTGAATCCCAAAATCACTTCTATATTTGACATAGACTGTCCAGGTTCTTATAGAGTAAAGGCTTAATAGATTTAATAGAAGGTTAATGGAACCTTTGAGAGCCTTGATCTTCTATTTCAAATATACAAGTAAATACTGTAAAAACCTGCTATGAGTTGGTATTACAATGCAAAATATGTTCTTCCTCTTCATCCAGCCAACTGTTTGTACATGGTTTGACAAGTTACCGACAGGTATTTAAAGCACGTAGCAGTTCACTATTAACCACTTGTTTTAACCAGCTTCTATAATGGGAGATTTTAGGACAGCAACACTGTGATGAGACTAATCTCGCCACTGTGCATTGGAGGAGCCTGGTTGCCCGCCTGCTGCCTTTAGACTATGGCCCTATGTGGAAACGCATGATTGCAAAGACACGAAAGCCGGGTCATTCGGTACTTGCCCTATTTGAACAGTGATACCCCAGATAGCTATGCCATGGAGCCCATCCTCCCCAGCTCTCATAACCCAAGCCATTTGTGTGTTTCCTTCCCTTTTCTGTGACCGACCGCAGGGCCAAAATACATGGAACCCTTTTCGGCTGTTAACCCCAGCGCGGTTGGTCTTTTTAGTACCTCCAGGAATTTCCCGAACCCCTGGTGATCTGGGTGATTTTTGGATATGTGTCTCACCCAGATCAGGGCTACCAGGGGATGTAATATTTAAAGGGGTACTCCTAGGTTTAGGGGTACATCCAGAAAACAAGGGGAACTGTGTCCTGCACAATGGGATTATGTGTCACACTAAGGGGAGGTGATGTGTGGGTGGCAACTCGTGTATGATTGGTGTATTGTATAATTACTGTGAATCTCTCCCTTGCATGGGAGAATGCTTTAAAAGAAGGTTGTGTGATTAAAAGTTCAGTTCTGCTCCTGATGCTGTGTGTCGTCCAGTCATTGGGATTGATGTTGGGATATTGTTAGATTGTCTTGCTTGCTGGAATTATTGCCTTATGGATTTTTAATACTTGTTCCTGAGCCTCACTGGGATCTTAAGTGGAGATAACCTGTGGAATATCAGCTCTCTGCTACATTGGTTGGCAGCGCCGGGATCCAGACTCACAAAGGAACAAGGATTAATGGAGATTGATTACTCCACATTAAAACGATCCACACTGAAAGATCTTCTGGAAGCAAGAGGCATCCCAGCCAGCAATAAAACAAAGGCAACACTCATCTCTGAAGTAATGGCCGAATACCGAACAGAGGATGATTCAGTCACCGAACAGAGGGATGAGACAGATGGAACAGAGCAAGCAGCGTTTCAAAGGCAGCTCCAATTCAGACTGTCCTTTAATGGGGAGAATCCACCGATAGAGATAATCTCCAAGACAATGATCGAGGTCCAGGAGTTTATAATGCGGCAAAGAAGGCCACAAACACCGGATAGAAGCCCAGCAGTGTCTATGGTGCAAGAGGGTAAGCCGAAAATCCCATACCAGGCGTTTAAAATGTATGTAGAAGCAGAGGAAGATATAGATGCATTCCTCCAGAACTTTGAGAGACTGTGTATGCTGCATAAAATAAATATGGAAGACTGGGTCCCCATCTTAGCAGGACGATTAACGGGGAGAGCCGCTGAAGCATACCGTACTATACCAGATCTGGAGATTAGAAATTACAGCCGGGTAAAAGAAGTAATTCTGGCCCGGTATGCTTCTGGTGTAATAGGCGCTTCAGGGAATTGAAAAAAGTGGAAAAAGACTCGCATGCAGAATGGGCTTGCCGATTACAAAGGGCAGCTCTCGGATGGGTACATGCGAACCAGGCACGGTCCATGGAGGACCTATTACAAATGCTGCTGCCAGAACAGTTTTATGACGGGGTACCCAGGAGTGCCCAGGAGTGGATGAGAGACCGTAACCCCATGTCTATCACAGAAGCGGCTAAAAAGGCAGATGATTATATGGATGCCCGCAGGCAGCACAAGCTTGTGGGTGTTAACCCAGCTGTGCGACCCCTAGACAGAAACAGCTTTTCCGCTGGCACAAACGCACCACCAGCTCCTATCGCTACTCAACCGAGGTTTCGCCAACCCTCCTCGGTGCAATGCCACCAGTGCCAGAGGTGGGGACACTACAAGCGGGACGGCCCGCAGCTGCGAGACCCATCCACATTGATCCGACCAGGTCCACCCCCACCACCGAGAGCAGCAGCACAACACTACCAGGACGAGACACCCGCCGCTTATGGCTCTGCAGTTCCCGTCACTACCATAGAACAGTGGGAAGTACTACATGAAGACAACCCGCTACAAGCAAATCGTCAGCATCTCAGGCAAACAGTCTACCTGGAGGGAAATGCGGTGCAGGGACTCCGAGATTCAGGGCCACCGTAAGCTTGGTCCAAAGCCACTTGGTCTCGGACAAAGCCAAAACAAGCAGGACTGTGGCCGTCAGGGTTGCCGGGGGAGCCGTATACCGGCTGAATACAGCAAGAGTTCATTTGCATTGCGGTGCGGGGTCGGGAAATGTGGAAGTGGGGTTGATGCCACAACTACCCGCAGAGGTGGTACTAGGAAATGACCTGGGAAAGCTCACTTCTGCTTTTGAGCCCCAAACCACAACCACTGAGGAAGCGCATCCAGTGGTCACCAGGCAACAGGCCTGCACTCAGGACTGCAACACACTGTCGGAGGTTCAGGTAAGAGAACCTTCCCCTTCCCTAGACTGTGTTCCTTGGGCCCCTCCTAACGAATTTGCGGCAGAGGTGATCACTGATCCTACCCTACAGGTAAATAGAAACAAAGTCACCTCTGACCAACCTGGGGCAGAGGGGGAAAGATTTGTATGGTATAGGTAGTTGTTATACAGAGAGTCAGACAAGCAGCTAGCTGGGTCAGATCAGATTGTTCTAAGACAGTTAGTCGTACCACAGAGGTACCGGGCCGAATTGCTCCTGATAGCTCCTGATATTCCGCTATCCGGGCATTTGGGGGTTAGTCGTGCCCGATACCGACTGACCAAGAGTTTCTTTTGGCCAGGAATTAGCCAGGAAGTATGTAAATATTGCAGTACCTGCGATACGTGCCAGAGGGTAGGGAAGAGGGGGGACCGGCGGAAGGCAAAGTTGCATCCGCTACCTATAATTGAGGAACCGTTTTATAGAATAGCAGTAGATATCATAGGCCCCCTTCGGAAACCTAGCCCTTCTGGCAAGAAGTATATTTTGATGGTGGTGGATTACGCCACCCGCTACCCGGAGGCGGTGGCCTTGACAAATATCCATGCAGAAACCGTAGCTGAGGCCCTGATGCAAATTTTCTCCCGGATGGGGTTACCCAGGGAGATCATTTCGGATGAGGGTACTCAGTTCACTGCAGAGGTCACCCAGCATCTCTGGAAATTCTCTGACGTTAAACCTATAATCAGCGCCCCCTACCATCCCCAGACTAATGGGCTCTGCGAACGGTTCAATGGTACATTAAAACAAATGCTCCGAACCTTTGCTGAGACCCACCGGGACTGGGAGCGATTCCTGCCACACCTCCTCTTCGCTTTCCGGGAGGTGTCGCAGGAATCCACCGGGTTTTCCCCATTCGAACCTAATTAGGGAGCAGACGGTACCCCAATTGTACCATATGTGTTGGCACTCCAAGACCGCCTAGAAGCGCTAACCAGGGCGGTAATGGAAAACCTTCAGGCGGCTCAGACGCACCAACGTACCTGATATGATCGAGGCGCCAGGGGCCGTAGCTTCCAGGTAGGGCAGAAAGTTTTAATTTTAAAACCTGTCCGACATGATAAGCTACAGGCCGCCTGGCAAGTCCTTATAGAGTGGTGGAACAGAGATGTGACACCACTTATATAATTGGCCCCTGCGCAGGGACTGGACGGCGACGCATGCTCCATGTGAACATGATGAAGCCCTACCAGGAACGCTCAGAAGAGGTGACCGCTATTGACAGCCTTCCCCTCCCAGATCTACTGGGAGATGGTTAGATGTCTGGGGATTTAGGAAAAGTTGTGCTGGGAGACCGGCTGAGCCCACAGGAACGTACCGAGGTTCAACAGCTGCTAAGAGAAAAGCAGGATACCTTCTCTAATGTGCCTGGGTGCACTCCTCTAGCCCCTCACCGGGTATAAACCCCAGGCCAACTCCCCATGCGCCAGACCCCGTCCCGCATCCCTTAAGTGGTGCAGGAGAACATATGCAAGGAGATCGATGAGATGCTCCAACTGGGGGTGATTGAGCCCTCAGACAGCCCCTGGGCTTCTCCTGTAGTCCTCGTACCAAAGCGAGACGGTACGACCCGCTTCTCCGTGGACTACCGGAGGTTGAACAAAAAGACAGTATCAGACGCGTATCCTATGCCAGGATAGATGACTGCTAGACCGGATGGCCAGAGGCCAATACCTCACTTCTATTGATCTATGTAAGGGGTATTGACCGATTCCCTTGTCTCCGGACACCATCCCAAGTCAGCCTTTGTCACCCCATTCGGCCTGTACCACTTTAAAGTCATGCCGTTTGGGATGAAAAACGCTCCGGCTACCTTCTAGATGGGTTCCAGGAGTACACCGACTCCTAGATGGGTTCCAGGACTGTAGCGGAGCAGTAGTATTATCCACGGTATCTCCGCTGGTAGACAGAATCAAGCAGGCACAAAGCAGGTAAAATCCAGGTAGCGTAGTTACAATCCCTTATTCCCAAGAACTAGACGACACATAGCTTGGAGGTCAACTGAGGTTTTATTTTCAGGTCACGGTATTTATGGGATTCCCCATGCAAGGGGTTTCCTTACTGACATTTCAGGGGTTGTAAAGTAGGGGACTACATGGGGAACTGACCAACCCACACATTTTTCCCATCATGCACTGCTGGACGTGAGGGATACTCCCACTGGAATATACTGTTAATGGGATTATCCCACTGTGCAGCAGAACTCACATTTTACATTAAAATACATAACTTTAACAATATTCACTAGTTTTACACGAATGGACGTTCGGTAGATAGCTGGAGGCTGAGCGCATCGTTCGTGAGAATACCGCTCAGCTCCCAGTCTACGAAATACATATAATTTCTAACGTTTTAAAATACTGATTATCGTAAGGGGAATAAACTACCGAACGGCCGAGGTTCCCGAACGGCCTGGAAGTTCAGCGGTGTTCGCGCCGTCGAGTAGCCGTTTTTAGTTCCAGGCGCTCGATGACAAAACACCGTTGGGCTAACAAAAGAAACAAGATGGCCGACCGCCGCGTGATCCGTATTCGAACGACGGCCACCTAGAAACACACTTAATTACCGATTGCAACATTGTTGCAATCGGTTAATGGGTGCCACACAACCCCCTGTGTGTGGCTCTGCGTTCGGTATGTTATTCGTTTCACGAACAGTGTTTAACTCACTGTTCGTGAAACTTCATTAGGAATGCTGGGGTTTTCATACCGCCAGCATACGAATGCCCTCATTCGCCTGAAATACAAATATCATTGATTTTTATGGCTTAGCAACAATACACACATCCTTATACATTAATAGTCTCTGGTGGCTAGTTTTGCCACAAGGACTACACCTGTGCATATCTGGACGATATTGCCATTTTTAGCAATACCTGGCAGGAGCACTTGGCCCATATTGGAACGGTTCTAGACAGGTTAGGGAGGCCGGTCTGATGTTGAAACCAGCCAAATGCAGTATAGGAATGGGCTGTGGGAAACAGAAACCAGAACCAGCCAAAGTAGAGGCCGTAGCCCAATGGCCCAACCCTGGGACTAAGACTCAGGTGCTTGCATTTCTCGGGACAGGGGGATACTATAGGAAGTTTGTCCCCATATAGCACCCTGGTCAAATCCCTTACTGACCTGACCAGTAAGAACCTTCCCCGCCAAGTAACCTGGACCCCGGAGTGTGAGCAGGCATTTCAACATCTGAAAAATGCACTTATCAATGCCCCTGTCTTGGCCGCTCCCAATCCAGCTAAACGTTTTCTTGTTCACACAGACGCTTCTATGTCCCGACTTGGGGCAGTGCTGAGCCAAGTCGGGGCCGATGGCGGAGAACATCCCGTGGCTTACATCAGTCGCAAGTTGTTACCCAGAGAAGTAAGCTATGCCGCCATCGAGAAGGAATGCCTGGCTGTGGTGTGGGCCCTAAAGAAGTTGCAGCTGTATTTGTATGGACAGCCATGAATCACAACCCATTGGTATGGCTGAACCGGGTGGCTGGGGACAATGCCAGGCTGCTGCGCTGGAGTTTGGCCCTACAGCCCTTTGACTTTAACATTCAGTACCGCCCGGGCAAACAAAATGGAAACGCTGACGGGTTGTCTAGACAAACAGACTTGGAGAAATGATCCGTGAGCACCCCGGACACCCCCAAGCCGATCCGTGCTGGATCAGACTGTGTATGCCGGCTTGTGGGCAAGGGGGAGCAGTGTAGCGGATGGCATTGGGCTGTCCTCAAAATTATGTATATTCCTATGTGTTTGGTTAAATTGTGCCATGTGTATGTGAAGTGTAAGCAGCATTCGTTTGATTGTTCGGTAAAATCACTCCAGTTATTATGCGAGTGAAACTACCGAACAATCAGGCCACCCTAGGAGTAAGTGTGCATTCAATTACTGTTCACAACAATGTTGCAAATGGGTAATTGGCAATTCATGTAGTGTGTTCTTTGTCCTCTGGGTGGCTGCCATTCGGGAGACGAACACGTGGCGGTGGCCATTTTAAACTCCCGAACAGCAGTGTTTTGCCGTCAAGTGTCTGGAGCCCAAATCGGACACTCGGTTAGCCAAACACCGCTGAGACCTCCACACTGCCGCCAATTAGTGTAAAAACTACCGAACGGCTTCCTGTTCAGTAGAAAGAACCCCGCGAACAAGGGGATTTACCCGAATCCTCCCCAGCTCTCATAACCCAAGCCATTTGTGTGTTTCCTTCCCTTTTCTGTGACCGACCGCAGGGCCAAAATACATGGAACCCTTTTCGGCTGTTAACCCCAGCGCGGTTGGTCTTTTTAGTACTTCCAGGAATTTCCCGAACCCCTGGTCCGATCTGGGTGATTTTTGGATATGTGTCTCACCCAGATCAGGGCTACCAGGGAATGTAATATTTAAATGGGTTCTCCTAGGTTTAGGGGTACATCCAGAAAACAAGGGGAACTGTGTCCTGCATAATGGGATTATGTGTCACACTAAGGGGAGGTGATGTGTGGGTGGCAATTCGTGTATGATTGGTGTATTGTGTAAGTACTGTAAATCCCTCCCTTGCATGGGAGAATGCTTTAAAAGAAGGTTGTGTGATTAAAAGTTGAGTTCTGCTCCTGATGCTGTGTGTTGTCCAGTCATTGGGATTGATGTTGGGATATTGTTGGATTGTCTTGCTTGCTGGAATTATTGCCTTATGGATTTTTAATACTTGTTCCTGAGCCTCACTGGGATCTTAAGTGGAGATAACCTGTGGAATATTAGCTCTCCGCTACACGGCCACCCAGACGAACAATTAGAACACTGCAGTGAAAAATGTTCCAAGTTTTTAATAGGTGTTAACAAGCTCCAGGGTGGACTCTGGTTCATGCGGTTGTTCGGTAATGTGAACTGCCGCTTCGAATTGTTTCGGGAGTTCTAAGTGCCGCTTCAAGAGTTCGAAGTGTGGCCATGTAAGTCCAAAACGGCACACAGAGTATTTTCAACCAGGGTTTAACACAGGGGCAATAGTCACAAGGCAGGAGGCTGGCACACAGGCCCCTCCAAAAACCAATGGCGAGGGTACTTTTGCCACAAATAGTACAGATATTTAAGCCCCCAACAGCCTAATTTACATGCAAATAAGGAAGGGTTGAGTCAAACAATAGCAAGGGCTGATGGGAGATTGAGGAGGGACAGGGCAATCTGGGGACAGACAAAGAGTGTCTGTCTTCCATCCCCAGTGATGGTGACTACCGTCACACCTCCTATATCTCTTTCCTATATTTGGTCACAGTTTTCAGGAGTATCCCAGAATGATGTACATCCAAAAATGGGGAAGGGGCATTGGTGACTCCTAAAGGCATTGAATGAAAAGATACGTGGAAAGTTTCCATTTCAGCGGGGCTTCAAAAGCGACGTTTGAGAATGTTATTTCATGTTCCTGTTTTATTACTATTTATAGGGAAGGACGCAGCGGGTCATGTATGTACGTAGTGGGCATTGGATAGCATTTCCTTCATTCCCCATAAAACCATAACTTACCCCTTCAAATAACGACAGACAACTTCTTGGAGAAAACAGGCCACAGCATTTATTAACACAACCAAATACTGTATGACTCCTTTAACAGATAACGAAATAATAAATATCATAAATAAACACAACCAAAGAAACCGTCTGTGACGAGACCAATCTCGCCACATTGCATTGGAGAAGCCTGGTTGCTCGCCTGCTGCCTTTGGACTATGGTCCCCTGTTAAAAGACATCTTTTTTACCCTCAGAAAAGCTTCATTCGTGCTTTTCTGCCTGGGGTTTGGTAGTTTTGGTTGAATGTGTTATACCCCAGATAGGAATCCCATGGAGCCCATTCATATGAAACTGACTGTAAAGACTTTGGCTCCATGGCTATTAAACTGTATTCGTGTGGTCTGAGCGCCATTCACTTAATAATGTGCGCTCAGACCTGAGCTATCTGGGGATATGTTAAATGTATAGTTCTAATGTAATGTGTCTTACCTGGTGTATTTTTACAGTAATGCTTGTTTTGTGTCACCATGTGCATAATGGAGTCTTGTCTCTGTCCTGGGAGATAATTTAATTACTTCTCAATTATCTCCTGGGCAGAGGAGAGGAAGCCAGGATGCATTGTGGTAAAAAGGAAGAGGTAATTGGGTTACCTCTCAGGATAAGGGGGAGGGAATCTGTGGGTTGTAACTAATATGTTACTGGATATTTTATACCTCCCTGTGGGCGGTCCTGTATTTGCAAGACTGTAATAAAAACCAGGCTGGGTGTGCCAGCACCTCAGACCACTGCTTGACCCTCAACACGGAGCCTTGTCTCGTTCTTGGGGGTATTCACTATATGCTGTTAGAGACTGATTGCCACGAGTGTAAGCTGATTGTCTGCTTTTCCTGTTCGTCTGCTAGCAGCTATTTGGGAGGTTCCAGTTCGGGAGTTGGAGTGCTATTTTGTATCCAGTTTGTGTGTTTGGTGTTCTGCAGTAGCTGTGCCTGCATCTCTGGAAAGGGGGCCGATGGCCTAAACGTTTTTACCCCTTGTGCGCAAAACGGTCCGTTACACCGTCCTTGCCAATCTAACTTCCCCAAGGCTCTCACCTCCCCCCCTCAGCATAATAAAAACATCTTCCTTTTCAGGGCTCCCCACCAACTCTGTGGGGCCCAACCATAATGCTCCCCACTGGTCGACTTACAACCCAGTGGGGACACGTCCAACCTGGTACCTCCTCCAGGTTCACCATAAGAGACAGGGGGAGGATGAGACCCGGCCATTATCCCCCTTTTTCATCTAATCTACCAAACCATCCCTTATTTGGCAAGGACACACCCGGCCTCGCTGTGACAACCCCCCGGGCCCAAAGCAGCAAAGGGAGGGTGGGCGGGAAACTTGTTGCTGGCCCGGCTCCTAAGTGGCACTGAGGTCAGTCTGATCTGTCACCACCCACTTCCTCACATCTCACACTCCCACATGTAGCATATAGCCAATCATGCATCATCCATCCCACACTCATATATGTGCCCCTGTCCGCTAAGCTGCGCACTCTCCCTGGGGCCTTTTGCAAAGGTAGTGGGGACCGTGTATATCGACCCCATC